GACCAAGGCTTCGCTCATGAATATTAATTAGCTAACGTGAAAGACGCTAACCAATGAGAATAGCCCGAACATCGCTGTGCGTAATTAATATTCATGAGTCCCGCCTTCGCCGTAGTAGGATTAGTGAAGCGCGACCTGTGTTACGTGCTGACGCCAGATGTATATGAGCGCACGCGGCGGGATCTTTTTCCCTTTTAGCGCCATCAGAGCGGGAGACTCGCGCTGTTCACTGCGCAGCAGCACCGCCGACTCAGACGGACCTCTACACATCGGGTTCTCGGTAAGAGCACATACCGCCGAGGGGCTGTTTATGAACCTCTTTTTGTGCACACCAGAAGATAAACTAGTACTTAAGTCGAGATATAACACGAATCGAGACATCAGAATGGGATGTTTCAGTTAACGTTAGCTCGCAAGCTAACCGCTCAGTCAGTCAGTAGCCATTGAGACAGACTCCTCCATGATGGAGATGAAAATGGCTGGTCGATTTTTTAATTCAGGTTTAGCCGTTAAACAGACAAACCAAACTGGGGTTTTAATGTTTAAACGTTTGTTTGATTGGTTACAATAGTTGGAAACGGGCGTATTTTCTCATGTTGGGAGGATGATGACGACGATGATGATCTGGCGGGTAACGGTTTTTTTTTTTGGTGTCTGATCACGTTGTCGGAAAAATGGAAATAAAACCGGTTTATTTAACTAATCAGTCGGTTTTAGTGAGAATCTGACGTGGAGACGTAAATATGGCCCATGTTTGAGCAAGAGGATAAAATGATCTGATGTCTTTACGCATGCTAGTTTAAATTCAGTTTAGCGTGTTTTTCCTGACAAGCTTGAATCTGAAGCGCTTTGGTAATGTTATCAGTCTCCTCTAGTTAGGATGGGTTGGTTATGAGGAGGCTGTGCTGCTAACGGGTTTAGCCGGTGGGTCTGTGGAGGAAACACGTGGTGATGTGGCCTGGTGAATTGACCACTCCACTGACCCGTGGATCAAATCCAAGATCATTAACCCAGTTTAAGAGTTAAACATCTGTTTTAGATAGTAGCTGTAGCAATGCCTGGACATAGTTGGTTAGTTTGAGGTTTAATTAGTCACATCTGTATGAAATGTGGCTGGTGGGTTGCCAGAGGCTCTTGTTGAATTGAATAAGGCTGTTAACTGAAGTCAGCCAGTATACCATATTTCATCCCATTTATATTGTATATTTCTTACTGACTTATTTTTGTGAGTCATGTTACTGTCGTTGATAGACACCTTTCTTTTTTTTTTTTTTTAAAGATGGAGTGTTTTTTGCATTAGAGTTTGATCAATTTTAAAGGGGTGCTATTATGCTTTTTCACTTTTTCAACTTTTGTTAGTCTGTAATGTTGAGGTTTGAGCATAAAAAAGTTCTGCAAAGTTACAAAGCTCAAAGTCCACTTCAAAAGGAGATATTTTATTTAACAGAAATCACTTTTCAAAAACTACAACGAACGACTCGTTTGGACTACAACGCATATTTTCCGGGATTTGTGATATCACAAATATCGACGAATGGGACGAGACCTGGTTGAGCTGCACTAGAGAAGGCAAACTATTCCAGCCATTCATGCCAGACTGGGGAGAGAGGTTTTGTAATAATGTAAAATATGTGAAAAATTGTTTTTCGAACAACCTAGTATGAGAGCCTGTTCTAGTAGACTCCCAAAACAAAATCAAGACTTTGTAAAAGAGCATAATAGGACCCCTTTAATAGAAAACATCTTTATAAATGTTTAAAATATTTATGTAAATAATAAATAAAATATATATTTAAAAGAAAATATAATAATTTATTAGTAGTAGATATAATATTAGTAAATTCAGGACATTTTTTGTTTTGTTTAACTTCCAGTCATTTCTATGTTGGAAAGGCATAACCAAAACGTTGTGTTATCACAGCGATATTGCGTTATTTTCCCCAGAGTTGAAAATGAGAATGACAGGTTAAGTAAAAAATTTTAAATATCAGTTGAACTTATTATATGTCTATCTCTGCTTCCTTTTGAACATTTTTCATGAATTGATGACAAGATTGGGCTTCTTGCGTTCATGTAAAACCGGTGAATTTTTAAAGTTTTTAGGTGTGGGAAAAGTCATGCACGTCTAGTCTACATTGTAGACCTGAAATTGCTATTGAGTGCAATCGTTATGTGAAAAAGTCACAACTGACTGGAATGATGCTTGACGGAGTCTTGGAAATGTGTTTGTTATAAGGTTTGGGAAGTCTAAAGAGGTTTTAACAAGTGCATTGAACCTTTGCTCCCAGGTCAGCTAGATTTTGTAAGGTTTAAAGGCTTGCCTTCAGCTTTCACTGCTGAAAAATGGTTATCAGAGTCTAGAGGAAATGTGCCAGGAACTTTGTCCTGGTATTGTGACGTCTTGTTGTGAAATAAGATGATCTGATGCTGCCATGGTTTTGGAAACTCTCGTATGTCTGTAATGACAGGTTTCAGATGATCTTGACGCAGACAGAAAGAGAAAGAGATTAACCTTCAAATCTGTCAAGAATGGATGCTGCCAGGGCAATGTCAGGTCTTCATGTTATCGATCTCCTACAGGCGAAGAGCAGAGTAGACTGAGAACATTCTGTCTGTAGCAATCAGCTCGTGAATGAATGAAGTTGCTCGCTCTTGCCGCTGGAGGTCTGGATGTGGGCGTCTGAGCCCGTGTTTGATCCGACTGTGCGTTGGAGTTTGCTTGTATGCAGGTCGGGCCCTGACAAATGTATCCAGTCAGATTCAGAGCTGAAGATAGTGGTTCACACCTTTTGATTTTTATAGCTAATCTATCACGTAAAAACCCCAGGGGTTGAATTTCTAATCTAACATTGAATTTTTCTATCACGAGGATGGCAGTGTACATGTTTCAATACATTTGCACCATCAAAATGATATATCTGGATGCTTCTGTTATGCATCTAAATAGTTAAACTTTTGCATATTGGCTGCCTGAATCATCCTAATACAGTCACCTGACCAGCAAGACCATCAGCGACCGAATTTAGCTTGAGGCTGTTGAACATAATGGACAGTATTAACATTTTCCTTTCTGATTTTTCCTCTAGGAAACAAAACGGTGAAACAACATGGCAGATCTTGACAAGTAAGTGCATGTTTGCCTATTAAAGAGCTTTTATTTCTGACATGTCAGTAAAATCATCTCATTTCCCAGTTTGACAGCTTTATTGGATTGGCGGCCCTTCACATTCCCAGCTAAAATTGCTTTATGCCTGTTGTTTGTGTGGGAAATGGTGCTTTAACGCCCCTTTTTGCTGATTTTTGATTAGCCCTCACATGACCAGTGAACTCATCAAAACACCCCAATCCGGTCCTAACCTCTTTCCTCCCTGTGAGAGATGACCTAGGGCCAGCAACACATCGTCTGCATGCTTTCACGCTTTGCGTGGTATCCCAAGCGTCTATGCTATGCCAAACACATGTTTGCAACTCTACAACCCTAGTTCACTCACTCAACACTTCTGTGACACGAGCAATACACCTGTTGCTCACCACAGGAACTTCCTGTCTTTTAAGAGCGCCGTAGATGTGATGCTGTTTCACATGCACCTGCATTTTCAGCCAAAATGACAACTGAGGTGTTTTTACACAGTCAAGTTAAAGCTGCTCTGTGCCTGCTCACAATTTAGTGTTAAGATGCAAAGCTGCATAGAAGCCAGACTAAATTATGCCTGCTTTGACCCAGCTCAGCCCCTAGTATCAAAGTATACTGTAATTGCTTTATTCCTGTTAAAGGCACAATTTGTAATTTTCGCTGCTGGAGGGTGCATATTCAAAATAAACAAATAGACAAAGGCCCTTCTCATTTCCCGTGTAAACGAGGTTGACCAGTAGTTGGTTTTGCCAATACTAAATATGGACAATAACAAGGGAAATCGCATGTAATATGAATGAAAACCTTCCACTTAATGTAAAATAGTACTGAACTTCATTACAGAATTAACAATAATAACTTAACCATGAGAATATTTTGTAATTAAATTAAAATAAAAATTTTTTTTTGGTCATATGAAATCTAACATCTAAATGTACAAGAAATGGTAAGGGGAAAAATGGGATGTAAAATCATCATAGGTTGCAGTGATTTCTGATTCTTGAAACCATAGCTTATTCAAAAACCATGATAAAACCGCATTGTTTGATCACTAAAGATGTTAAATGCTAAGTAGATACCAGTAGCCACTCAAACTCAAATTTCTTTTAGCAAGTTACTTGAAACAAACTGATTGGCTAAAATGAATCAGATTTCCCAGCACTGCCTCCATCAGTGAGTTTATAGTGCGTTTTTACTGTCTAGAGTCTCTTTGCTCTGATTTTCTTCACTAGGCCGCTGTGGATTCTGGATTCTTATTGCCGACTGTCATTAGGAAAAGGCTATGCACACGTTTGCACTGGCACTTTTCGTGTTGGGTAACAGGATATCAGTCCGTAACCTCCGTGACCTCAGCTGTGTTTAGGCAGAACCACAAGTATTCGATTCGTGCTCACTATTTAAAGATTGCTTCAGGCACGCTGACCTTGCCTTTGTTTGCTACGGTTTATTTTTGGGATGAAAATGCCATCTTTTTTTGACCCTTGGTGAAGAAGGTGCCCTAGATCTGAGAGACGCATTACAGGGTTGAGGATTAAAAAAAAATTATAATTTTTAATAGATTCAAATTTTGTTTTTTTTTACATTTATTATTTATTTTAAGTTTTTATAATTTCTTTGGAATTATTTTTTGTTTTCATATTTATTTTTTTATTACTATGTTTTTTAGATTTTTATATTAGCACATTATTTTCTTTTTTATTGTTTGTTATATTGGCTGTTTCTTTTACTTCTATAGATAGAGTTGTCAATATTGTAGGTAATCATGATTAAATTTCAATTTAAAGTACTTTACTGGCATGCTTAAGTTGTCTGGATAATATAGATATCAGTCTCCGCCCTTCGTCATTCTTTGGTACTTCTGTGATACTGAGTGTAATTTGTAATGCTTCCTGATGTGACTGTCAGGTTATGGGTGTTCGCTTTGATTTTAGCACGTCAGCTGACGATGCAGATGATGCAGAACCCTCAGATTCTTGCGGCGCTGCAGGAGAGGTTGGATGGGCTCGTGGGATCTCCCTCAGGGTACATGGAGAGGTACGTGCCCACGCAGAGCACAACTTCAAATAGCCCCTTTGTTTCCCATTGGCTGCATCTAATTTCCCTACTTTGCCAACACCGACTGAATTAAATGTTTCTAAATTTGGCCCAGTCCTGTTCCCTGATTTCTTTCTGCAAGGTGCCAACCAAATGTCAAGCATCTCTTTTTACTCATCCATACAAAACGATGATACTGAGTCATTCATGAATCATCAGCAGTGTGTCATTTGCACCGTGTGACGTTGTTTGTGGTGTCTGCGCAGCTTACCAAAGGTGGTGAAGAGACGCGTCAATGCCCTTAAGAACCTCCAGGTCAAATGCGCCCACATCGAAGCAAAGTTCTACGAAGAAGTGCACGAACTGGAGCGAAAATACGCCGCTTTGTATCAGCCCCTCTTCGACAAGGTGAGATTTAAAAACTGATGCTTTTCTTTGTCCTCCAGAATGAGAAACAGTGGGGTTGTTCTTTGAAAAGGTGCGGTTTAAGATGAAACGACTGTTGTGTGCTAGAAGGCGTGCGGTACAGTGCGTTAAAGCGGTTATATTGACCTGCTGCTTCAGCGTTTCCAACTGCAGCAAACACCAAGTGGTCAATCAAGGACACTAGAGGCAAACAGCAGCCAGAGAGATGTCTTACAGAGAATAAAACCTGAGCTGTAGCTGTTTATCCTCTCTTGTAGCTCTCGCTCGCGCTCCCAGTGGAACAGTTATGTCTGAGAGGCTCAATTAAAAGTTGGGGTCCTTCAAAATAAAACTTAAAACAAGTTTGCTGGCTTTGAGTCTTACAGTACAAATGTATTGTGTCAGCATAAAGTCTAGTCCATGTTGCAGTTTATTCTGGCCAAGAACTGAGCACTTGGGCAATGTTATTTTACTCCCATTGAGATGCTGTTATAGTTTTTAATATTTTGAATAAGACTTTACTTGTTTTCTGCTTTAATTTTAGTATGTGTGTGTACACACACACACACATACATACATACATACATACATATATATATGTATATGTATATGTATATGTGTATATATATATATGTATGCATGCATGCATGCATGCATATTTTGTTTTAGTACTTCAACTTATTTTAAGTTAGTTGCTAAGGCAAAATTTTATTTTTTAAAATTATTTTTCTTTAGTTTTTCTTTGAGATTTTGATCATTCTTTATAAATTAATTTTTTTAGTAAATGTTTTTATTTCAAGTAATAATTATTAATATCATTAATTTAAGTAATATTCTTTCAATTTTTTAATGTATTTAATTTAATTGTATTCCAAGTAATTTTGTTAATGTGTATTTTTCTTAGTAATATACATTTTTATTTATTTTTTTTGCTAATGACAAAAACCCTGCTTAGACATAATGATTCAGCTGATTTTCAGTGAGTCTATTTAAGTAGTTGGTTTAAATCATTATATTTAAGTAGTTTAGTTTTGATTTCTAAAAATGCCTCATTAATGTGAAAAACTGTCTTCAGCGGAGTGAAATCGTGAGAGCAGCATACGAACCCACAGATGAAGAGTGTGAGTGGAAACAAGATGAAGAGGAAGAGCTGACAGTAAGTAAGCAGGTACAGGTGATCCATACCTGCATGCTCTTCAAATACCACCTCATTTATATAGTGTTACATAATATACGGTGGTCAGTCATAGCTTGACTCTATATCTTGGTCTTTGTCTTCACCAGGAGGAAATGAAGGAAAAGGCCAAAGTGGAGGAAGAGAAGAAAGACGAGGAGAAGGAAGACCCTAAAGGAATCCCAGAGTTCTGGCTCACAGTTTTCAAGAACGTCGACCTTCTCAGCGAAATGTTGCAGGTAGGGAGAAAACGGCCGAACGCGGGCACACGAGGGAACGATTGTGAGTGTAGTGGTGTTCAAAAGCAGGTCATGCATCATGGGTATTTACAGCAGGAGATTTCTCTTTGCAAAGTGTCCTTACTGCCATCTTGTGGTTCAAAAGTGTCCCTTGCATCCTTTTTTTAGCTGAAGAAACGGGCATAGTGAAGCTATTTGCATCTAACTTTAATAATGCAACTTTTGTTCGGTTTTACTCACAATTGAATGTGTAATTTAATTATCACAATTTGATTGGGAAATGAAAGCTGGGTTGTTTAATGTCACTTACATTTTTGATAAATATAATTTTCTTTGGAACAGATGTGTCCAAATATCAAATTTGATTAAAGGCTGTAGGTCAAAAGTAAATGTTACATTATATCAACTTTATTATAATATATATAATATTATATTTAGCATTTATGTAATTTTAATTATAGAATTTAACTATTTAAATTTCTTTTTTTTACATTTGAATTCAAAAATATTAATTAAAAATGAAGATATGCTTCAATGGCATGTTTATTCCTATCAAAGGTCATCATGGGCCAACTTTGGCCCACGGGCCCTGGTTTGGGCATCTCTGCTTTAGAGAAATATACTTTCTGATGGGCATGACCAGGACAATCTTTTGACCTGAAAATATGGTTATAGCATTTTCCAGTGCTGGTAGATGTTGTAATTGCTCTTTTTCCACTGACAGGCATTAAAAAGTATACATGATTCTGCTAAAAGACAAGCAACATACAGTAAAAGTAGGTGAGTGACATACAGTAAATGACTTATTTTGTAGTAGATAAAGTAAATAGATAGTAAAAAATAATGTAGTATAAATAAATAAGCGTTTCATTAATATTGAGAATAATAATCATTCTCATGATCCAAATTTCAAAAGGTCGGTAAATATTCTATATAATTTTCCACATTTTAAGGTTTTATTTAATTTCATATAGCGGTACGGCATGCAAACACATTTCAGTCTCAGTGCACTTTTGGGTTTGCAGCCTGTCATTATTCTTATAAATTCTTATAAATCTTTCTTACATATCAATTCATATAAGATTCTAAGATTCAGGAGCAAACATCCTTTGTCCATATGAAAAATAATAAAGAAAAAGTTTGATGTGACAAAGAAAGTACCGTGATTAAGACTTTGAACATCTTTATCTCTTTAGATCTTAAAAAGGCATTTATAACATTCAGACGACCATGAGTCATGACTATAATTTTCTTTAGAACAGATGTGTCCAAACTTACACAGAGCCAAATATCAAATTTGATTAAAGGCTTGTAGGTCAAAAGTAAATGTTACATTATATCAACTTTATTATAATATATATAATATTATATTTAGCATTTATGTAATTTTAATTATAGAATTTAACTATTTAAATTTCTTTTTTTTACATTTGAATTCAAAAATATTAATTAAAAATGAAGATATGCTTCAATGGCATGTCCCCCCCCTTCTCTTGTGATATCAAAGGTCAAAATGTATATTAATTATATTATATCAATGTATTAAATATATTTAATTAAACAAATTACATTTTCTTAGATTTATATAATTTAATTTTAATTATAAAAGTTTAATTATATTTATTTATTAATTAGAAATGAAGATATGCTTCAATGGCATGTGGGCCCTGGTTTGGACGTCTCTGCTTTTGAATAATGTGCATTTTTATTTAAGGATATTTATGGAATTGATTTTGGTATTTAGAAGGATTTCATTTATTTTGTTTTTCCTGTCCAGGAACATGATGAACCAATCCTTAAGCACTTACAAGACATTAAAGTCAAATTCTCCGATGCGGGCCAGCCAATGGTGAGTCTGATATGTCTGGTGTCTTTGTCTCCTATCTGATGTCTTAATCTCACAGTTGACTCACAGTTTGGTCTCTTTTCAGAGTTTCACATTAGAGTTCCACTTTGAGCCCAATGATTTCTTCACAAACACAGTCCTGACAAAGACCTACAAAATGAGGTCTGAGCCAGACGAGTCGGATCCCTTCTCTTTCGACGGCCCAGAGATCATGGGCTGCACAGGGTACGGCTCAACATCTGACTTTCACTCTGCCTGTTAGCTTTGACGTTTGTTACATTAGAGGCTGACTGTG